CCCCAAAACCCCAAAACCCCAAAACCCCAAAACCCCAGATGATATATGCAAAATTGATTTGAATTCAAATTTATGATTACGTAATAATGAAATTCATTTGGAGTTTCCCCAAAAAACCGATATTTCAGAAAAGAAACTGTGATACCCTCAAAATATTTTGAAAATGAGAGGTATATATATTTAGATTTTAAATGTTTGCCTTTTAAGAGTGATTTTAGAAGAAAAATAACTTAATTTTGTTCATCCATTTCTTTCTTCGTGACTACCATTTGAAGATCCTTTGGTTTCCCTCTTATTAAAGTGATTCCCATTTTAAGCAAGAGAGCAAACCAGTAGATGTTTAACCCAAGAAGAGTCGCCAGCAACATAGCCATTACACTCACAACGTGTGAATAATTATCGACAGCCACTCTTATTCCCATCGCAAAAGAGTAAAAAACTCAGTAGGAAAAGGTATAAAATCTGAACCAGCCCCACCCTGCCATCAGGAGTAGGTACAATAAAGACAAAGTAGCTACACTTGAGAAATCCATGATGACTCTGATAAGGCCAATCCAAATATCTTCGAAGTCCATCTGAATCAGGACAAAGATTCCAATGCACCAGAAGCCACTCATATACGAAGAAAAGATCAGCATGCAAGTGATGACATGGTGGAGGACCATTTCCCAGTAATCATAATTAGGCGGGAGGAAAAGATGAACGATACCGTCTTCTACATAATAACTGAATGAGAGCAAGTAATAGAACTTCAAAGTGGAAGGCATTGGGGTGTACGGCCAATCGCCTACAGTGTATAGAAGCTCTCCATTTCCAAACATTACAGATGGAGCGAAGTTCGTCATCTTAAGAACCTTAAATAGTCCAAGATAAAAAGTGAAGGAGAAGTATAATACCTTAAATATTCCTCTTGTACATTTCTTTATTTTTCGATCAAGTTCATCACCTGAGTATTTGTGATTAAGCTTTCTCTTAAAGAATTCATAGGTATATGTATTGATAAACATCTTTAAAAGCCTAAGGACTATTGAACAGGGAATCACTATCCAGAAGTCTTCAAAAGATTCGTGTGTGTACTCAGGTTTTTCCAACCTCCTAAATCTTGTGTATGAGTATCAGCTGTGAATCAGTTTTGGGGTATACCCCAGGAGGATCAGCGTCAGAGCAAGTCAAAAGATCTGACTTGGAGTTGATACTTCAATAATTTTCTCAATATGGCTTTTTTCCTTCTCTTCTTTCTTTTCTTTCATAATTATTATGATTATCAAACCCAGACATTTAAGAAGGGGTTTTGGGGTTTTGGGGTTTTGGGGTTTTGGGGTTTTGGGG